AAATAAAAGATCCTTATCACCAAAGGTCCATCTAGTTCCACTCTATCATAAGTGCAAGGGGCGAGTTCATACAGAAAATGTTGCTGCTCCCACACTTCATAGAGAGGCCAGGAGAGTGGGAATGAGGGTTTCAGAAGGCACTGCCCACTGTTCACATGACTACCCAGTGCTAAAGCGTGCATGCTCTTGGAGGGGATGGGTGTTTGTATTACACGTTTGAGTATATTTCTGCTGTTCTTGGCCTCTCTTTTTTAACTGTCATTGGAGCTCAGGTTGCTTGTGTCCTCCTCTCACTTCTGCTGAGTCTACTTCTTCAGAGTTGGGGCATCTTTCCTAGTAATTTATTTAAGAGGGGTTTAATTTTCTGACCTGGGACCAGAAGATTCAGCAGAGACCAGTAGTGGCTGCCAAGCTCAGAGGATGTGTGTGTTGCCTATCCAGCCACCTCCTGCTCCCCACCCTTCTTGGGTGATAAAAGAGAGAGGAAGGTCCCAAAAGTGTGTATGTGCTTGATTATATAATATATTGGCAATTAAATAAAAAGCTAAATTGTCTCCTCTATTTGGTTTTATCTCCTTTGGTACTGGGGAATTGTATACGTAATGCTTGATCAGGAGAGCAATGCATTCACTGGCTTCAATCAAAAGCCAATATTTGAATTTGTATTTCTTTCTTGAAGTCAGCGCCATGCCTCATAAGAGCTTTACAGCTGTGTCAAGTGGCTTAGGTGGCAAGGGATAGAGATGGTCATAGACTTAGAGAATATTGTTTTGTGTTGTAGTATGATGAAAGAGAGAAAATGCCCAGAATGATCAGTTTGAGTTTCTTTGGGCACATTTTAGCCCAGAGGCACTGGGATGAACTCAAGACCATTAAAGAAGGCATCCAGCCCCAGCAGTTTGCCTAAGGGGACAACTGCATTTGCTTTCTTGGAGCCAACCTGGTGGTTCTGGCTGGGAAAATCTTCTCCAGCCATAGCCAGGGCAACCAGAAGCTCTGACTACCAAATCCAGCTCTGTCCCTGACTTACCGTGACTGTGGGCAATTCTCAGGCCCTGTCAGCCCTTTCTTAGATTTTCCTCCAAGGGAAGTAAACTACACAATTGCACTTTGGCTGCTTTCCAGTTGTAGCTTTCTGGGAGACCTGATATTTGCTGTCAGGGCCTCGAGGGCAGTGAATGCCATATTTGGACTGATATCACTGGGACCAGTCCCTCTCTGTCCCACCTGTTTTCCCCATATCAAGGCAGCCCTTGGGCTTAGGAACATCGGTTCCACTGCAGTGAGAGGCATCACCTCACTTGGCCCCAGGATTCTCTCTTAATCTGGAAGCCAGAGGTTATGGGATAGTGAGCAGACTGAGTTACCTATATTCTAAGAAAAAATTCTAATGGGTTGCTATAGATCAGTGATGGCGAACCTTTTGAGCTCGGCGTGTCAGCATTTTGAAAAACCCTAACTTAACTCTGGTGCCGTGTCACATATAGAAATTTTTTGATATTTGCAACCATAGTAAAACAAAGACTTATATTTTTGATATTTATTTTATATATTTAAATGCCATTTAACAAAGAAAAATCAACCAAAAAAATGAGTTCACGTGTCACCTCTGACACGCGTGTCATAGGTTCACCATCACTGCTATAGATGGAGGACATATATTCAAAGGCCCTTAACAGAACAAAGACAGATATATTGTCAAATTCTTGGCTTCCAAAATAAGCCGTAAATCCACAATGCTAACCATGTTACAGGAAACTTACCAGTTGGGATGAAGGGAGAGTTTCTCTTACTCACTTAGCAGAGTGATTTGATTATTTTCACTTTTGGTTTCCTTCACTCTCATTTCTCTGCTTTAAGCCTGTGAGTTTCCTTGTCAGCCATCCAGGTTTTAAACCATGCCAGTTGCAGCATCTTGACTTTTATTTGGAACCTCTCCCCTCATTGGATTCCTGAATATCAGGGGTGATCAGAGAGGCCCCCAATTCTCCACTCTTGGCTTCCCGCTGTCCTTGGGGTTGCTGGACCTTTGTCTTTTGCCCTTGTTCTTCATCTTTGGTCCCACTCTCTCATACTATATTCTCATGAATACAGATCTTCCCAGTCCACTTTCTCCATATTCAGCTATATAAATATGCATCCATGAAAAAAATATATTTTATGTGCATTTTTAAAATGTGTGCATAAATGTCACCCAGCTATAAATCTCATTTTTTCTTAACCTTTCTTTGTCTCACATACACACACACACACACACACACACACACACACACACACACTGGAGGCCCAGTGCATGAAATTA